AAGATTAAGGCGGTTGGCTAAACTCTCTCTATTGATTTTCTGGAAGATAAAAGACAACTACACGTCCAGAGGTGAACGCCTGGATAAAAGCTGTGGCAGATGTAAGACAAGAAAAGATAAGATAAGAGAACCTTTATTTGTCCCACAGTGGGGAGAAGTGGGGATTGTTACTGCTCATATCAAAAAGAGTGTAGCAGTTCCCAATAGATCTTTCTTTGAGGACTCATTAAACTTTGTCTAGACTACATGTGCACAACAGGCAAATGTTATAGTTCAGGCAAAATACTTTTAAGTCAATTTCAAATGTTTTGTCAATCAAATTTACATTTTTGTCTCTTATTTATATTCATGTGCAAAATTACCAAACGTGACAATGGCATAGACTGGAATAACTTTTGGAATAACAAAAACATAAAATAACAAAAAAATTAATTATGGGACTTGCATACCAGCCTGTACTTCCTGTGACATTACATAACACTAACCTGTTTTTATTTTGAACGGTATTTTGATGTATACTGTATGTTGGTAACTTTCATGTTTATTAAACTGTATTTTAATATGAAAGTGAATTACCTGCACTTTTTATAGAACTGTATATTAATATGCAAGTTATATGATTGTATTGTCAGGGACTACAGATGGAAAGTATGATGGTGCATCTTTTTAATGCAACTGCACATTGTCCAAGAAAACTAAACTTAAAATTAAAGGTGTATAGGAGGTTTTCCCAAAATTTAGGAAAGAAGCGCCCTCTCTACTTTTTTGAACAAAACTCTCTGTTCTTATTTATCAATAGAAGGATTGACAACTGGGAGGACCAACAGTCTTGACAATCCTCCTGGAAGTAGAACATCCTCCTATAAAACTTGTATGCTAAAGTGATTTGCTTTTTTAAAAATAAACTAAAACAGTTTGATATTTTAGCACGTATTGTGAGTGTAACAGGGACGTTTGGGATCTGTGCATATACAGTATTCATGGGCCGGGCCTGTGCGCACTCAGGTGTTGAAAAGACTGATAGCCCCACACGGGATCATGTCTGGACCACTGCAGCCTGCTCTACAGATCACTTACTGAAAACCTATAATCTGACTGGCAGCTGAGGGGTCCCAGCACCACTAAATGAATAAGCGTTTGTCTTTGTGGTATATTTGGAGTCCGAGCGCGTGCCAGTAGTGAGTTCAGTGCAAATATATTGTCTGCATCTCCTTGTAAGTTAACTGTAATTTTCTCTAAATAGCTGTGATGTCATGGGATAGAAGGGCACGGGGCTTGTGGGTAAACTTTGGAGCCCACCGCATCCAGACGAGAGGTAGTGCTGTATTCATGAAAGAACACACAAGTCACACAAGCAACAACACTCTGCATAAAGACAGCGTAAAACAAGCCGTGTAGCAAGAGTGAAGTTCTTGTTGTCAAAGTTGGGTGTTTTGCACAAACTGCTCTTTCCTTTATCAAGTTTCTTTTTTTGAAAATATGTTTAAATGATATTTCTCCATGTGGGTGATAAGCTTTTCGTAATCCATTAAAGTGTGATTCCCTGGTGTCCTGGGTGAACTGCGCTTATTTTGTTTTTAAAGTCGTAAGTTTGATTGATCCTTTCATTTTGACTCGTTTCTGTCTTTCCCATGGTAAAAAAACAGTTTAAGATTAAAGCTGCACTAACTCACTTTGTGACATTTTCGAATGTAAGCGCTGGGCTCACTCTGCCCCCCCTCCCCACACTCACAAAGCTTTTGAATGGCTGTTTCGCCGTGTAAGCAGTAACCGGTAAGGAAGACACGGGAAGTTTCAGGTTAGCCTCCGCCGCTGGTTTACCTCAGCTGTCTGTGCTAACAAGAGACCTGTGGCTTTTCTTCGACGTCTGTCCCAATGCACTGCATGGATATGGATTGTATTTTCGTATCGAATACAAAAATAAAGTGAGGTAATGCAGCTTTAACAGATCCTTTATTTGTCCCACAGTGGGGAAATGTCAGTGTTGCATCACCAGTTACAGAACAGTAGGACAGAGGAGCACACAGCACAAGATAAAGCCGACACAGGTTCAAACTTCACACCTACTATTCCCACAGTTGTCCCGGGCTCACAACAGTGGACTTCAGATTCAGAGCATACTTCACTTTTCCACCATTGTGAATACGTTTGAGCAGCACAAATGGAAGAAAACACATATGATAAAAAAACAGGAAATGTCAAACCAACAATAACATAATCAACATCAAGTCAATACAAACAGATGAACACAGCAATACAACAAGACAAAAAAGATGAGTGACAAGTTCATTTTTACTGCACAAAATGGGGTTTAGTGTATAAGTAATACATCATATTTATTTACATAGCACCCAGAGTCACAAAGTGCTTTAGAATTGTGGGAATTCGTCTCTCAGGAGGCGCATGTCAGACCTATTGTACATGTTTTTAGTGGTGGGGGAAACCGGACCACCCAGAGGAAACTGGAGCACCGGGAGGAAACCTACGCAGACACGGGGAGAACATGCAAACTCCACTCAAAAAGGCCCAGTTCCAATCGGGATTCGAGCCCAGGACCTTGCTTCTTGCTGACAAGCGAAAGAGCTCTCCACTCAGCCTCTGCATGTGTTGCTGTGTGTTGTTTCATGGCTGTCATTTTTAATTCCTGTTTTATTTTGTATTATCTATTCTCCTGCGTCCTTTTGAGTTTTATCTCATGTTCTGGTTCTGTGTTTCATCTGTGTGTCCCAGTTAGGTCCATTGTGTATATTCCCCAGTTCTTATTTAGATGTTTTTATTTGTATTCTGGACTTTGTTTTGGATTCTTGTTTTTTAAATTATATTATTTTTTGCAGTATTGTATTTTGGGTCCTTCCTCTCTCTTTTTGGATTGTGACCTGTTGTTCTGTATGTGGCTGAGGTGTTCTTCTACCTCTGTCGTTCATTCAAGCCAAGCTCATCATATTTCCATTGACAGCGACATCTCCTGTGTTACTGTCAATGGAAAAATGTCTCTACAGACGCAGAGTGACACAGGAGATTTCCATATATTTAAAATCAATCACTCAAATCCTCTTTTTCTGATTGGCTGAACAAACTGCAAAACCTGGACTGGCATACCACATTTTCTGTAGCAATTGTGAGGGCAAAGCAATTTCATTATTAAAAAAGAAGTCTTATCAAAATGTCACACAATTAACCAAATATGTATTGTGTGAATACGGATTATGAACATTTCTGTTTAACTATAATCTGGCATTGTCCCTGGACTAAACTAAACCTTTCTTCACATTAATAGTTGCATAATGCACCTTTTAATTTCTCTTTTATTTCTTTCAGTTCTATGTAAGTGTGAATTCAGCTGCAAGGATGACGAAATCTCCCATTGAAACAAGTCCCGTTTTCACCATTGAGGGCTGTATTAACGTGTTGGAAAAGCCCACACCGATGTTAACACCTTGTTAAGTTCGCCTGACCTCAGAGGGTGATTACACAGCTGATAAACACCAACAATGTTCATGTCGACTGCTCTTGCGTTAGAGGCTTGTGAATGTGAGCCACTGTAAGCCTCTTGTGCTATTCCTCTGAGCCCTGTCTGGGTATGTCATGCTGCTGGATTTGTGGGTCGAGTGGGATTTTTTAAAAGTATCTTGAGGTATATTTTACTTCTTTTTATGAGCTATTAGTATTTGTGGATATAATGAAATTAATCTTATACTGTGCACAGTTTACATCTTATTATTCTGTCAAACGGGTGAAAAGAACATGGGGCAACAGTGGCTTTATGTGCATTCTGTACATTGCTTAAATTAGTATCATGGCATTTCTCCAACTGCAGTATGTGGAGTACTGATGAGGCCTGAGCTGCTTTAGGTGGCTCCTGGACTCCAGTATTTGATGAATTCTTCTAACACATTTTCCTTTTGTTAGCCGACCAGTGATCAAAGATAAGATATTGATCTAATAACATTGGGTCTCGAGAGTTTGCTTAAGTCATTCTGAACATTCTCTACATAAACATAAACTTTGACTGAATGACTGCTAAAATGATGCAGTGGAGTTAATGCTGCCTGTGACTTGTCCATTTGGTCTCCTGAGCCCGTCCATCTGTCCTCTCCATCAGTGTGTTTTATTGATGTGTCTGTCTTATGTCTCTCTCCTTCTCACTGCTGTAGAGCTGGTTTCATGTGTCACAGCCACTTTGAGTGCTTTCTGAACAAACCAGCAAGAGGTCTGCTCTGCTCGCACTTTGATCCTGGAAAATAATTGCAACCATTTTAGGTACTCTTGAGTTGGTTTTGGTGAATTTTGCTGTGAGTGAAGAAATGCATATATGATACGATTATTATATGGGCGGCACGGTGGCTGAGTGGATAGCACTCTCGCCCCTCAGGTCCTGGGTTCGAATCCCGGTTGGACCAGGGGCTTTCTGAGTGGAGTTTGCATGTTCTTCCCGTGTCTGCGTAGGTTTCCTCCGGGTGCTCCGGTTTCCTCCGGGTGCTCCGGTTTCCCCTACCACTAAAAATATGTACAATAGGTCTGGCATGTGCCTCCTGAACTGGCGAGCCCGCTCCCAAAAAATCACAATTGTAAACCGCTTTGAGACTCCGATGTGCAGTGAAAAGGCGGTATATAAATAAAGATTACTATTACTAAAGATTACTATTACTGAATCTTAGAGAGCATAGTAGAATATTCAATAAATCCAATGTGATGATGAAAATGTTTTATCATTCTGTTATGTTGCTGGAAAAAGGGTAGAAAAGGGCACAGCTGAGTACTTGAAAAGTTAATGCCATGTCAAGCGCCTTTGAGTGTCCAAAAAATGTTAAGCGCATGTCATGATCTCACATTTTTATAGATGCTCAAAATAATATGGTTCCACAATTTCATGTTTTTATATAATTGTCTTCAAAAAATCTGGGTTTAAAACAGGGCTCATGGTGTTTGTTCAATACAGATTACAGTATAATAATAAGTCCTGTTTTTGCAGTGTAGTAGTAGTTGGGAGATGAACTGACCTTGGTGATAGCGAGAGCACAGGCCTGGCCCCAGATCTCGATGAGCTGCTGCTGTCCAAACCTGTAGTCCTTCAGCAGCTCTGTCTCGATGGCGGCTGCCTCCCCTTTACTGCAACACACACCAAACACACAATTGATTTAGTTCAAAAACGTCTTCACTATCTGACATGTTCGTTCAGGCTCTCCAGAACAACATCTCGAACCATTTGCTTTTAAAAACTTAACTTGGACACACTAGAGCCACTTTTAATATTTTGGTTTTAGAATTTAAGAAACATTATTCTTCTAGTTTTATCATTATTATTATCATTATTATGAGCATGAAAAAGAGTTTCCAGAACTCTCACTGTGTAAATAAAGATAAATAAAGTAAATAAATAAATACATACATATCTTTGAACTAAGTTTGCTATTTTGTCCCCCTTCCCTATAATACAAAACCGATAGAGTGTACAAGTCTATAAAGAAACCTCAGTAATCTTATGAAAGATAGAAATTATATTAACAGCTTTAGAGAAGTAAATAACATTAAACTTATGAAGCACTCTGTTTAATGTTTGCATGATCAACTGGCTTTAATGTGTTATGTATTAGAAACCAGGGACATAATGTTTACAATCGAATGTCTATGATAAATAATTCACTTGATGTAGCTCTCTGTGTAATGACATGCTAGGATCTTCTGCTGATGTGTTTCATCTGAACAATATGTAGACCAGGATTGTTTTTTAAGCAAAACATTCTAAATAAACATCACATTTTGTCATGTAACATTTCGCCTGCACATCTCTACAACTTGTGCTAACCCTGACCAAGTCTGGTATGGGTCGTAAGTATTGTTATTTGAGTATTACACTACAGACATCTAGTGGCTTTGTACAGTACAACAGCTTGCTTCAAAGAGGCTGATGTAAGAATGTCTGTTTCAAAGAAATATCTAAAGGTAAAGGGCATTACACTGTGACCTCCTATACACTGTAAACAACTATGATAGCTGTAACAGGCCCTTTCATTGTATAGTCCTATCAAGAAGGAGAAAAGACAAGCATTTCTTTGCCGAATGAATTCTCACAGGAGTTTCTCCAGCAGTTGCACGTTTGCATTTTTCATGAGCTTACATCATGTAGGACATGCTTTGTTCACATCACACCAGAAAGATCAGAGTCTGTGAAATGCATGAGGCCTGAATGAACATACTTTGGACAATGGACTGGAATCCGTCTTAGTGCGACCAAGACCTGGTGTGCAGGGATCCACAGGTCTCACAGATTAGAGTGAGAAGAGTGGCCATTTGCATCATGTAAATCTTCTTTTTGGCTCTTTCAGGTAAACTAAAGCGGTCAGGTTGGCATAGAATGCTCCATCAGGCACTGCGTCACCAAACTGAATGTGACAGTGACATACAAGACAACATTTGGCAACATTAGAACAATGTGTTGCCAGTAGCTCTGTCCTTACACATGTGCCTTGGTCTGTGAAATGTGCTGTATAATTAAAATTTCTAACTTCCATTTGAGAGACTTGCTATTGTGTGTTGCTAGTCCAACGAGGGAATACTATTGTGTGCACTAGTGTCTTGATGCTGTGCCAGGAGGAGAGCTCCGAGGGTCCATTCTGACTGTTAACAGTTGGGAGCTTCCCTATTGATCTGCAGCTTAAGAAATGAGATTGAGAGCTCAAAGTATCACAGACTCAAATTCAATACAAACAATTACATCCTACAATGTCACCAGAAGATCAATGACTCAAGAAAGTATACAACAGTAAACAATAACTAATGTTAAATAGCATAATGTATTAAAGACTGGAATAAAGCTCATTTAAGCACAGCAGCCGGCTCCGGGGCCTCACATCAGGGAGGTTTCCTGACAAGTCGCTCTTTAGAAAGTTCATGAGAGTCCATTGGGTTTTCTCTTGCTGCTCACTGCACCGTGCCAGTTTATAGTTTATGAGGTAATGATAACAACCTTCTATGTGGCTTTTACAACACAAAGACCACAAAGAGGTCATATACAAATGTGTGGAGTGTTAGTGCTGCGAAAAGAAGAGAGCTGAGAGTCCGAAGCTGTGGGGGGGCTTTTCTATTGATCTGCAATGAGAGTAAGTGCTCTAGGCAGCTGCAACATCTAAACATGAACACTGCATAGAGGCAAACCAGCAATACTCCAATAAGACTGAACCAAAGAAACCCATTGACAATTATTTATCAATTATTGAGATGAAAGCAGAAGATAATCATCTCCAAAACAATCTGCAAGTAGGGCAGTTTCAATGATGAGAGAGGTGTACAGTATAATGGTGTATAATGAATAATAATGGACATTTTCAATATAAGTAAGTAGGTAATCTTTATTTATATACCGCCTTTCACAGACCAGAGTCACAATATATGACAAACATTTTTAATTAATTTTATACTCTTTGCAAACCCTAACTTGTAGAATGTATGTAATGAAATCATAAATAAATATGTATTTCAATGATAAGACTAACTAAAAATAAACACGTAAAACTGTAGAACTAATTATACTTTGATATACCAAATGTCTTGTTATCCTGAGCTTTCATGTATGAAAGGAAACAATATAAAAAGGGAGAAATTGCACTACAGTAACAGAACAGCTAACACAGGCAACAAAAATAGACTTTTTCCTTCTCAGTTTTCTCTCCCGTTACTGCTGTGAGCGACTCCTTACACATCACACACCGACAGTATCAAGCGAAACATCTACTTAGACACAATACGAATATTTTGGATGATTTGAATGACTTGCTGCACCTCTGATGTGGAGGGAGGTATTCATTTCTATTCAAATATTAATGATAGTAAGTGTAGCACAGAAGAGCACACTCTCCTCTCTCCTATTATCCATCACCTCTAAATACCTCACTATTGTTGACACCACTACAAGCCTTTTTTTTACACTAATAAACATCATCATCAGAGCTTGAGGGGCCCCCATTATCATAACAAGATGCCATTTGTGAAATGTACATTAGCATATAACAGTTTTGCCCACACATAATGGCCATGTCGGATTTTGATTCAGTTAATTTGCCATTTGCAGGTTAAAAAAACTCTTTATTTGAGCAAAACAGAACACTAAAGACAAAAAAAACACAGGGAAATAATTGACGCTGTGTAAAAACCCTACTGAAAGCAATAAAGTTCTAGATCAACCCATGAAAGAGCTCTGTTAAATATCACATAAAAAATACAGCAAAATTATACTGATAATATGTAGAGTAGCTACCTGTCCAAAGTCTGAAAGAAGCCCTTTTTCACTATTGACAATATCAGCAACTGAAAATATAATAATTGGACTGAAACTGTTTTATTCCTCTGTTTTGAGCTCAAGGACTTTGTCAGAATCCTTGGACATGGCAGCGCAGTGGCAGTGCGGTTTGTGGTCATTTCTGTGTGTGGCTTATGTTTGTTTGCATGTGCCACCCTGAATGTAAGCCAATGTTTGGACTTGAATGCACTCGATAGAAAATCAGTGATTGAACCAAACATGTTGAAGTTGCCTCTAGAAATATGAACTATGAAGTTAAGTTTAGAATTATATGGATATTGGACACCCTGTGCTATCCAGAGACTGTACATATTAATGGATGTAGTCACACCTATCCCCGCCGTGAAAACTTTTGTGCCACCACTTTTGCCTTCTGTGGGCTGCATCAAAATGACCCCCCATCATGTAAATTAAGTGTTTTTCCATTTATTTATATATTTTTTTGCACAACCACGACCAGTATTGTTTGCTAGACGAGAATAGCTGAAACAATGGAAAGGATTAGAATTGATATCATCCAATCAGAAAGCTGTGAGTGTGAGCAAACCCATCACACTGAAGCTTGAAACTGAAGCTTGTGCTGAAATAGATTTTTCTCTTTCTCTCTTTCTCTTCTCGATTTGAAAAGTAAATGACTTTCACATGTTAAGAATATCATATCAACAACATGATGTTGCCTTAAAACCAGCACTAAATATCCCACGTCTGGGCCGTATCACTTATGCCTGTCCCTTTCTCTCTGATTGAATCTCCGCCGGCCTGTCCCTTCTGTCGCCTCCTCACTGCTGCTGTCTTATCAATCACTCCTGTTTACAGCCTCGCTCTCCCGCTCAGCCCTCCATGTCGCTCTGTGACTGCTGCGCTGCTCGGATGTGGTCTGTCCCTGTAGGTTTGGGGGCTGTGTGTGCGGTGGGGGCAGACGGAGGTGATGGACTATGACATAAAGACACTTGGGGACTTTACTGTCATGTTATCAGCTTTTCCTCGGCTTTTAAGACCCACTCTGAGTCATACAAAGTGATTTAATGTTTGTTGGGGCTGTGCTAAAAATCAATCAAATCAAACAATCTCAACGATGTACTCTAATTGTTGATCATTTCTTACAAAGCATTAAACCGAAATAAAAGGTGGAACTTTGAAAACTAGATTATCCTTCAAAAGGATAATGAAGTCTACACTTCATCTTACAATGTCAAACTAATGTATAAATGACAGATATTACATGCAAAGTGACATATGTCAAGTCTGTATTTGTTATGATGTTGATAATTGACTCAAACAAAAACACCCAAAAAAATCAGAATTTGATTTTTTTAAATGTTTTAAAGGGACTGCAAGCCACAACATTATAACAAACAGATTTATTATATGTCACTTTGAGGATTGTGAGCAGTGAACTGTCTGTTCTGACAATTGTTTCATGTTATGTTTGTTTTATTTACAGTAGGTACTTGTCTTGTGCACACTCGGGACTTTTGCAGATGTGTTCCAATGTGGTTTTACTGCAAAAGGTAAATAAAATGAATCTGAATCTTTGAGTGTAATTGGTTTTAGTCACATATTGGTTTCACATTTTAAGTTGAATTACAGTAATACATGTGTTAAGATGTGCTCTCCTTTTGATATTTGTTTTGTCAATGTCATATGACGTGTGAGATTTCATAACACTTTTAAGCAACTATGGTTAAAGTTCTAACTTCATTCTTACATATGCAGAAGCCTGTACTTTTAAACTTGATGTTTTGATTTCTGAAGGCCAAGCTACAAGCACACTGTGGCAGCTGCTGATTGGAAGTCTCTGTTTCTCCTGAGTATATTATCACTTGCTGTCTAACATTCCTTGTTCGTGTTGTTCGTGTGTCTACCATCAACAATAAAACATGTCTTCTGTCTGAATAAAAGACATGGTCCCAGACTTTGGCTGATTCCTAACAGACGTCATGTCTCTCTCACGTGATTATGTACTTTAAGGATCACCTTCACCTGTGATAATGACATGTGTGCCCACAAGAATGGTGGAGCAGCACAAACACTAAAATAACCATTTTGTTATGTTTTAAGGCTGACACGTTAAACACTGTGTGTAACCTAGCTTGGCCTTAGCCATTCGTACACTCCGCTCAATAATCATTTCCCTGCATGTAACGTCTTAGCCTGGTTGTACCACACCTTAGTACAAATTACATTTCATGCTAAGGTCTGGATTTGCTCCATTGAGCTCTGTTAACAGGTGGGAGGGGTTAACTCCTTTTGCAGATTGAAACGATTGGATCTGAGTTTACCTTGACATATGTAATGCGCCCGAGAGTGTTGTTAGCATTTAGCATTTAGCCTAGCCATCTCCTTTGCCGCTAACGGAGCCCGTGGGGAGTAGCGGCCAAGCCCCGGCGATCCAAGATGGCGCCCTATTCAAATGAATGGTTGTGCTCAGTGGCGCTTTGTGACGATCTATGGGAAACTCGCCTGTATTTGGGCATCGTCTGGTCCTCCCGGTTCTGCGCAGTGGATGATCTCCCATAATGCGTTGCGCCAAACACGCGTGTGTGGGTCTCACACCAGGTCTCACGCACGTGCACAGAGGGGCTCGGCCGCGCTCTGACCAATCAGAGCAGTTCATCAGAGCGGGAGTTAGAGCGAGAGCCAGACGAGCAGAGTTTGTGGCACTAAAGTGTGGATTTAAACAAAACCGAAGGATTTAAGAAGTTAACAAGTTCAGGGCGACAAGGGACACTAAAATCCCCACAAAATCCGACCTTTATGAAAGCTGAAGGTTCTCTGTCAGCTGAGGTTGAGCTGTTTTAATATGCATTGAGTCCTATGGGGAAAATTTCTGGGT